GATGATGACGATGACAGTGAGAAGGAGGAGGAGAAGAAAGAGAAGGAGGAGGAGAAGAAAGAGAAGGAGGAGGAGAAAGAGGAGGAGGAAGGGAAGGAGATAGACTTTATAGAGATGTAATATAATCAAGGATTCTGACATGGGGAGATTATTCTAGATTATCTCTATAGGCCCTAAATACAACCACATGAATCCTTATCAGAGGAAGATTGCACACATACAGAAAACAGCAAGTCAATATGACCATGGAACGTGAAAATGAAGTGATGCAGCCACAGCCCTAGACATATTGGTGGAGAGCAGGGCTGGAAATGTAAGGAAAAGGACTGTCTTCCAGAGGCTCCAGAAAGAATGCAGCACTGCTGATATCTGATTTTGACCTAGTGATACTGATGTTGAACTTCTGACCTATAGAACTATAGGAGAATAATTTTTTAAAAAATTTTTAAGCCATCCAGTGTAACAGCTTATTACAGCAGCCATAGGAACTAATACAGATGGTAATTGTTCCAAGAGCACATTGCTCATATCATTCTTAAAATAATAAAATCTCAGCTCAGGCATGGTGGTGCATACCTGCAATTCCAGTCACACAGGATGAGGCAGAATGATAACAAGATCAAAGCCAGCCTCACCAACTGAGTGATGCGCTAAACCTGTCCAGCTCAGTGGTAAAGAATCCTTGGGTTCAATCCCCAATTCCCCAAACCAAAAACCCCGAAGTCTCAAGTTGAAGACAGGATGGAAAATAAAGTGCCAAGACTTGAAGACAAAATTTAATTTGAAGTGGCAGTATTGGAGTTATAAAGGGAAACTATAATCTAGAGAAAGTTGAGAAGTAAAATAAACAGGAAAAAGTAGTAAATGAGGGACTTGAACAGAAGAATAAAGATTGTAAATGTGAATGTCCTAATTTTCAAATGCTAAATTGTGAGGTAGAACAAATCTTTCATATTTTACCTTTAAATGTTTACATATAATGTATTTCCAGCCATTTCTCCTCCAAATAAACTGTCAGTACAATTAACATTAATAGCAATTGATTTGGCATATATATATACTGTATTTCACATATACTTGTGATTATATGAAAGCTAAGATCTTCTATCTGTACTTCAAGAAACTTTCCTTTAACTATTCAAGAGATAATCTGTTTTTAAACATTTAACCCAAAGATAACGTGAATCCTAAACTCAGGACCTCTTTGTTGAATTTTTATCTTTAAATTTTAATTAACATGTAATAATTGTACATATTACAAGTAAAATGTGATCATTTGATACTGAATATAATGTGTAATGATCAAATCAGGGCAATTAGCATTTCCATTTTAAACTTTTACTGTGGTTTTGTGTGTGTGTGTGTGTGTGTGTGTTTGTGTGCACACATATGTGTTGAAAGGCTTTAAACTCCTCTCTTCTAGTTCTTTTTTAAAAAAATCTTAGTTGTAGATGGACACAATATCTTTATTTATTTTTATGTGGTGCTGAGGATTGAACCCAGTGCCTCATGCGTTCGAGACAAGTGCTCTATCACTGAGATACAACCCCAGCCCTCTCTTCTAGTTCTTAATGAAGTTATGTAATAAATTGTTGTGAACAATAGTCATCCTATTGTGCTGCAGAACAGCAGAACTTATTCTGTTATGTAACTGTATTTTGGTGCCTTTTACCCAACTTTCCTCAATCTTTTCTTTCCCTTCTCTTCTCAGCCTATAGTGATTGATATTCTATGAAACAACTGTTTTTTAAGCTTCCATATACAAGAAAAAATATGTGACATTTATCTTTCTGTGCCTGGCTTAATTAATTTATCAAACAATCCTAAACCCAATAATTCTTAGATGTATTAAAATAATAAATTTAATCTGGAAAATTCCCATAGCAAAGTGACTCTAATGTGACTAAATCACTCATTTTACCTTTTTCTCTAGTATCATTAAACATATGTAGCAGATGTATCATTTAAAAAGGACAAGGAAGACACCTGAATTCCCATGATTCTTTTAAGCTATTGGTCTTTTCAGAAACCAAACCATTATTTTGATGATCAACATGAAACCAGTAAACAGATGAAGAATCAAAGTTCTGAATGTTTAAGAGATTGGCAAATGAGAACTGAGAAAACCAATTAGAAATGCTGACTATCTCTAGAATTTGAAAAGCAATCAGAGATAGTGTTCCTTGTTGGAAAAAAACAGGCTAATGACAGAAGATATCAAAGATGATTGTTTATTTTTCCTACTTTCTTATTAATGCAGAACATTGATTGAATAATACACTGAAAAATAGAATACTTTTTAATATAAAGAACAGATTAACTAATGAATAGTCCAACTATATTGCACCCAAAGGAATCTATTCCAAGGCATGTTCTGGTAGGTATAGCTATGCATCTTCATTTGGGGAACCATGAATCATGAGAATCTTGGTGTGTTGACTTTTCCATTTTTTCTACTACCAGCCTGAACTAAGGCAAATATGTGACTGTAGAGGCATTTTGAGTTCTACTGTATGATATGAAAAGCAGTCTATGTAAATTCCACTGTCATACTTTCTGTGTCTAATTATTTTATTTGCTTTAGCGATATATGTAATTTACCTGTGGGAGGATAGAATGCTTATCTATGCAGGTTTCATGGTGCCATATAATTAGAGTTATTCCTTACCTATCAACCATTTTAATAGCCCAGGAGGCAATGGTTAACATTTCCATTTATCAACATTTCACCCATTTCTAAGTTCCTAGAGAACAAGAGACATGTTTTTCCTTAACTATCTTCCTTTAATATATCACTCTCACTAAATATTTAAGAAGCAACTAGTTAACCTAGAACTCAAGACATAAGGGAATGGGTGGAAGAATCAGCTGGGAATGGTCCATCTGGGTTTGCAATCTAGGTAATAAAGCACTTAATGCTGAAGAGATGAATCACAGAAAAAGTTTTAAACCCTAATACAAAAGTGCCTTAACTCCTTCAGCATAGATTATGATCCTGAAAGCATCTGGACTGTGCTATAACAAATATAGAAGGATTAATTTAGTATGATATTGTTTTCTATGAAGGAGAAATGGTTGAAATGAATGCGGCTTTAAAAATCAATAGCCAAGGACATTTGGCAAGATGTAAGACATACCTGGGTACCTTATAAATGAACAAAGACTTGTCTCTAGCTTTTAGTCACTATGTTTCTGAGACTTGAATTAATCAAAGTTCCAGGTTATCAGTTACTCAGTATAAAATTTCCAATAAACACGCCTTGATTATGTACTTAGGTCTTCAAAGTCGATAGATTTATACATCTTCCTCCACATAGACAAATTAAATACACAAAAATATGGAGTTCAGTTTTTCCTTTGAAGCAGTTTAATGAATTAAAAAAAATCGGTAATGAAGAAAACTAGACTTTAAATCCTGGATAAAAAATATTCTACATCAATTACTATCATGATGTGTTTTTGTTACAGATTACTAAAAAATATTTCTTAATAAAATGGAATCTCCATCAAACATATGGATCATAGGCTCTCTCCAAAGTAATCTTTAAGATCATTTAATCCAATCTCTCATTTTACAGATGAAGAAACAATATGTGAGGGTTTTAATAAAGACTACTTTGGGATTTTCATTGAGACAAAATGGCTGTTACATGAAGAAAAATGGAGTAAATGAATTAACAGTAGAAGAATGGTAAGGTAGGGAAAAAAAATAGAAGTGAAAGACTAGAGCACTGAGCAGAAATGGATTCTCTAATACATATCTAGGTCATTATTGGAAACTAGTTTAAATATTATAAACTTGATAACATCTATTTTTAAAATACTTATTAGATTATAAACACAGAAATAGGCTTGCCTGTAGGAAATCACATGACTTCTAATAAAATAAACAAGTTTGTCTTTATGACATGATAATTCTCCACTCACTCTTACCCACCTCTCAGTTCCCCAGTATATACAAATTGAAAGAGAAAACAAAAACCATTATAGTTTTGATCTGGAATATCCCCTAAAGGTTCATGTGTTGAAGGCTGAGTGCCCAGCACGTGTTCTCTTTCTCTCTCTCTTTCCCTGCTTCCTTGCTACCACCAGGTAAGCAGCTGTTACTCTACCCTGTGCTCAGCACCATGATGTTTTGCCTCACCTCAAGCCCTTAGGTAGGAGGCCAACTGATAATGAACAGAAACTCTGAAATGGTGAGCCAAAATGAAGCTTTCCTCAAGTTGTTTTCTCAGGAATTTTGTCACAGTGACAGAAAGCTGACCAACACAATGCATATCATTTGTATCTATTTTACAAGAAAGATTATCTTATAAAAACAGAGAAAACATGATTGCTTCAAAAGTATAAAAACGAACTTTAATTTGGATACTTCCTTCTAAAGAGTATGTAAACTCATTAAAAGTACAGGTTCTGGAATTAGAAACTTTAGCACTTAATCTTGACTTTGCCTAACATATAATCTTGGACAATCTTTTTTTTTTTTTAATCTCTGTGCTTCAGTTTTTTCACCAATAAAATCAGGATATGATTGATTATTTAAAGATATGTTATAAAGATGAAATGATATTAACTTTATAAATCTCTTAGAACATGTACCTGGCACATAGAAATTGGTTAATAAATATTAGCTATTATTATTAACATGTAGAAATCTGTTAAATATTTTTGAGGTAAGGGTTTTCTCACTAGTAAGACATGTTTAAGCATTCAGATTTTCAGTTTGTTGCCTAACAATTCATGCCAAAAGTCTATCTCAATATGACTAACATAATAGTATGAAGAAAAGTTTGTTTGTTTTGTTTAGTATGTGCTTGAGACAGAGATTATCATCCTTTTAAAAAGAATAAGCTAAAATGCTTCCCTTAGACCTGGCTTAAAACAACTTTAAAGTTATCTTAAAAGGCAAAGGAGAAATAAGGAAGCAGGAGAGGCTTAGCAGGATGCAGGCAACTTCTTAACATAAGAGAACACTCATGGAGGAAAGTGAAGGTGGTGACTCTTCAGCAAGCAAAGCACCTATGTGCTCTTGCAGAATCATATGCATGTCTCAAAGCAGTTAGCTTTGTTGCTAGGTAATCATTTGTTTACATGTTCTTTCTCCCCTATCATACAATGATCTACTAGGGAACAAAAATCATCCCACTCCTTTCTAGTCAATAGTTCATCAGTAAAATATTCACTGATTGAATGTCTTAACTGGTTAATTAAGGGAAGCTACAATAATGGGTAATACAGGTTGGCAATCCCCCAAAGGACTTCCATTTAAGACTTTGGCAGGCATGCCTATCCAGTGGAGAGCAGTGATGAGATAGAACTAACTGGACATTATGTTACTAGCAATGGATCCCTGAACTCTAGAATTGGGACAAATACACTAGGTGAGTATATAATATTTTTATTGGTTCTTTATAGTTATACATAACAATAGGATGCATTTTGATATAATTATAAAAGCATGGAATATAGTTTGTTCTGTTTCAGGCCCTAGTACTTCCCCTTTCCTTTCCCTTCTCCCTCCCCCTGTTTTCTTCCCTATATTCTACTGAGCATTCTACTGTTTCAGATTATTTTGTTAATTAGTGTCTTCTGGATGTACATGGTAATGAGATTCACTGTGGTATATTCATATATGTAAATAGGACAGTTAAGTCAGACTAATTTCACTGTGTTTCCCTATTTTATCCCTCCGACTTTCCCTTCATTCCCCTTTGTCTAATGCACTGCTCTTTCTTCTATCCTTTTATTTGTATCCCCCTTATTTTATATTAGCTTCCATAAATAAGAGAAAACAGTCAATCTTTGGCTTTGGGGTACTGGCTTATTTCACTTAGCATGATAGTCTCCATCGAAAACCATCAGTTCACTGGCAAACATCATATAAAGTCATTCTTCTTTATGGATAAGTAATACTCATTGTGTATGTATATATAGCACATTTTATGTATCTATTCATTTGTTGAAGGGCACCTAACTTGGTTCTATAGCTTGACTATCATGAATTGTGTTGCTATAAACATTAATGTGTCTGCATCACTGTAGGATGATGATTTTAAAACTTTTGCACATGTATCAAGGAGTGGGATAGCTGGGCCATATTGTTTGGGGGATCTCCATAGTGCTTTTTAGAGTGGTTGCACTAATTTTCAGTCCTACCAACAATGTATGAATGTAGCTTTTTCCCCACATCCTTGCCAATATTTATTGTCACTTGTGTTCTTGATAATTGCCATTCTGACTGGAGTGAGATGAAATCTCAATGAACTTCTAGTTTGCATGTCTCTAATTGCTAGAGATGTTGAATATTTCTTCATATATTTTTTGACCATTTGTGTTTATTTTTGAGAAGTATATGTTTTAGTTCCTTCTTCCTATTTATTGACTAGATTTTTCTTTTGATGTTAATTTTTTTTGAGTTCTTGGAGCATTAAATATTTTTGAAGTTTAAATAAGTATTATTTGTTTTCTTTAACCATAATACTTTTATTTTAAGAAATTAATCAATATTTGAGAATTTAGCACTTTATAAGACAGAAGAACCAAGTAAGACTGATAAACCATGGAAAAAAAAACCTGAAAGTAAATTCAGTAAAGAGTCTTAGATAATATGTTATGAGCAAGCAGAGAAAAAGCAATTACTTATATCTGGGGAATAAAGGTAATTTTAGTGGAGGGGTAATATTTAAGCAAGGATCTTGATGCAAATACTTAATCTCTATGAAAACAGAACATTATACCCTTAATTTGGAAACTGACTGATATACTAAGTGCAAATATCTATAAGTGAATGACATAAGCATCAAAGGCATGGCCATTCTGATATATTTGAAAAGTTAGTTATTAGTTGATGCTTGTTACTGTAATGACAATCAATTTGATAAATAAAATAATAATGTGCTTACAAAATTATATGTTTACGAATATTTATTCATCTATTAATTCTTTCAACCTAAGGTAAGGACCTACTGCATATCAGATTTTGAACTGTGATGAATGCATTGGATACCTAGGTAATGAAGACAGAATAAGCCCACTACTCAAGAAGTAGATTCAGACAATAAGTTAATAATAATTGCAGTGTGATACATACTATGTCAAGTGAAGTATTGGATGCTATGGGAATACATAATTGTAACCTATTTATCCTTAAATTCATTGCAAAAATAAGGCAGAAACAAATTTCGACAAATACAGAAAGCTAGTGGTTTTTATTGACCTTGAATTTCTTCTGATTTGGTTTTGTTTATCTACGGAGTAGCCTGCCACATATGAGTCTGCCTTATACTATTTCCTATTTAAAAATTTGCCTTTTGAACTACCTATTTAATTATGTATGCATCAGGAACAAATAAATTTAAGTTCTTAATTTCTTTAAAACTAAACATGGCATCATTTTCCCCTAACCCAGGATTTCTTTTTCTGTTAAAATAAATCTTTTATTTTACATGATAGAAAGCTCAGGAAGATGATGGTGAGGATATGAAGCAGAAAAAAAATGTTCTCTTTTGTGAAATTAGATCTACAGGACTGAGGAGAGTAAAATCTTGTTTGGACCAGTAAATTGAGCAAACACAACATGGGAGTCAGAGAGGAAGCAATTACAGGCAACACCAATTCTTATAATTTTATAAGTGAAGGTTAGAGTTGGTCTTTTCACTGTGATTATTCTTTAAATCCAAGCTATAACCTCTAGCCTTAACAAACACTTTCCTAGAAATTGTCAGCCACACAGTGGGTCTTCTTGAGACCCAGTGAGAAACCCAAACTCTCGATTTCTTAAAGCAAAAGACATGCTGTATTCCTTTATTTCAACTCTTTAGGATAAAAAGGTGAATAAAACTGCCTTTTTTTTTCTTGACATGAAAAAATACAGTTAACTAGAACTGCCACAGACTAAAGGACTAATTGGGTAAAATATTAAATGATGATATATAGGACATTTATCTCACTGGATTTCACCTAGTGCAGCAAGATGATTTTGTAGTCTCAGTACTGGATAAAGATTACCAATAAACTGGACAAATAATTTCATTTCTTAATCATTACAAGTAGTTTTAAAAATGGTAGACATGGCCTCAGGATAGGCAGGACTATAGAATTGGAGGGTTTTAACTCAGGCAGATATGGAGGTTGGACTGTTATTTAAGGGCTGTTTCAGTTTTCCCATGGATATTATAAATTATGTATGCATTTTAGAAGTGTATAATTTCTTTGTATTAGCTTGTACAGCTATTATACAGAAATATGAACAAACTATGGTACAAAAATGAGAATGTTGGGCTGGGGATATAGCTCAGTTGGTAGATTGCTTGTCTCACATGCACAAGGCCCTGGGTTCAATCACCAGCAACACAAAAAAAAAAAAAAAAAAAAAAACAGAATATGGATAAATGCCAAATGCCAATTTTTCCTCAGATTTTAAATGAGATAACCTTACTTCTAATACAAAATAAAATGAGAGACCGGCTTAGATAGGGATCTTCATCCCTTCTTTTTAGGATATTCTATAAATTGAACATATTGACACAATTATAATAATAACTGACAATTACTAGAGCACTACTCATGTGCAAAGCACATTTCATGTATGTTATCTCATTTAATGCTCACAAGAATTCTATAATTTAAATAAGGGTAAGGAAAATAGAGGTTAATTCACTTGTCCAAGGTCATCAGGCTAGTAATAGTTATGATTCAAATCAGAGCTCATACAACATTAGAAAATTGAGATCCAAATAGAGGAAAGGAATATAGTCAACACCTTGGGAATATCATTTCCTGAACTTCAATTCTTCATCTAGAGTAGATGTTGATAAACTTTTTCTATAAAAGTCAAGTTCATAAATATTTTAAGCTTTGTGGTCAAGAGAGAAAATCAGAATGTTATGCTATGTATATATTTATATAACAAGAAAGAAGAAATTACACAAAATTTGTATGAACAAATTTTGAAATATAATAATAAGCACGTTTTTGGAATACAGGTCTACTAATAATAGGACAATGTTCTTTTCCAGAGACAATATTTTGTAAACTGAAATTCGAAGGCAGTGTCCCTGTTATAAAACCAAATGAAATGTTCACCTATAAAAACCATATTTAGCTCACAGGCTTAACCAACAGCAGGATGGCTTTGTCTCAAGAGCCATCGTTTACCAACCCATGGTACACTGATGTCTGAGAACTCTTCCAACTTCAAGATTTTATGGTACTGTCTTACTTTATAAGCATAATAATTTTGATTTTTCAATGTCTTCAGTATATTTGGATTAAAAATAAATCCATGAACCTCATACTCCATACGTCCTAATAATTAAAGGAATAGATGAATGTAATTGTAGCATCAAATATTTATATTCATCTTGCAAAATTTTATTTTTTAGGATAATTTAGATTTTATTGCACTTCTGCAGGCACCTTTGAATGTCATAACAGAGGAATGATTTATGTTGAAAAGACAATTATGGATGGTATGTCAGAGGCAGGGAGGAAATTGGATGGCCTTAAAGTGAAATAAGGCAAGAGTCTATATAACCCACAGTCTCCCTACTGAAGGAAATCTTTATTTGACTCAATTTTACATTCTATCCTAATATTTGTACCTTAAACTTAAATAGTGTCTACTCACATCTCACATAAATTGGTGAATTTGCAAACCAGGGCTTTTAAATCACTTTATCATTATTGTTGTTGTTCTTGAAATTCCTATGGTTAGTTATGAGAGTTTTACAAGTAGCTCCTAAATTCACTAAAAATTTTCATAGGATGTGGTGAAAACAGGTGGCTTCCAGCATACATAATTTTTTTCTACACATACAAACACAAGTAATTTTTTTGTTCTTACTTAGAACATAAGTATCAAGAAATTATTTCTATACATTCATATGTACCTAACTGCCTACTTTTAAAAATATGAAAAAGTTCATCTAATTAAAAAATTTTTTTTTTAGTTTTTGATGAACCTTTATTGTATTTATTTATATGTGGTGCTGAGAATCAAACCCAGTGCCTAACACATGCAAGGCCAGAGGTCTACCACTGAGCTACAAACCCAGCCCTTCATCTGTGATATTTGAAATCAAATATCACATATTTTATCTATTATGTGAGGAAGAATTGAACACTTTTGTAAATTAAAGTAATAGAAAATACACTAAGATCTATAAAATAATGTCATTACACAGATTCCTTGATGGTCCTAAATAAGGTTGATCCTAGTAAAATTGTTAAGCAGGTATAATTGTTTTCCAAAAGTCTTACTTTCTCCAAATTATATTTTATACTGTCCCCAAATAATAGATTTTATTTTCCAAGTTAAGAGCAAATCAACATTTTAAGTTTTGGCAAGGGATTTGCAATGCTACATTTTTAAAATTGAAAA